GGGGGGGAAGCCCTGAGGGGGGCTCTGGGGGCTCTGGAAGAGCCTGCTGAGCAGGCGGTCCATGGCTGGCTTTTTAATGCTGTCCTAAAAGTGGATGAACTGAAATTGTCGTATTTTTTAACTAATGTCCCTGACCTTCAGTTGCAGCTGGATGTTACTAATTTTTTAACTTTTTTTTTTTCAGTGATCCTATGAATTCCAAAATGAAACAGAAACCGAGTGCAGAAAAACCATCAGGCTCTTTGGAGGTATAGGCTTTAAAGCCTTGAATCTAGAATATGGGAGCAGATAAGGGATAGAACATAGAAGATGAAATTTATCAGGAGTGTCTCAAACACAGGATTTGTGATGTTCTGAGGTTTACGCCCACTTCTTTGGGAAATGCTCCCTCTTTCTGACACAAGTTTTATATCCACTGAAGGAATACAAAGGGATCCGTTGTAATGTGCTTCCACCTGGCTTACGTCCTGTTGGCTTGAGTAACCTCCTGGCAGGCAGTGTGGCTTGGGAACACTCTGTCCTGCCTGGGCATATGTCTTTATGACTACTTTTTATTTTTTTCTTACTGCTCAGCAAGCCCTTTTTACTTTGACACTGAGCTTGCTCTCTTTCCATGTTGGTGTTTTGGTGGTTTTTTTTTTTTTTTTACTTAGGTGCTGGCTACCTGCCTTATTTTGGTTACTGAATCAGTCTGGCCGCTAAGGGGTTCTGTATTCTGTCCTGTATAGGGATGAAGTTACGAAGAGTTAAATCTCTCTTGACTTGAGCATGGTTTAGCTGAAGTATTCATGCAGGCAGTTGTTTCTAAAGTCACCCTCATGAACCGTAGTTGTCTTGGAATTGATGGAAAAGCTTAAAGGATTTGGGTTTGTACGAGGTGTCTGATAAGTTATTAAAGTTTATACCTATTCTTGTTACAAGACTCTCTTGTTAAACCCTTTAATGTAGGCCCTAATTTGAATTATACAAATGCTGTATAAAATAGAGGCTGGTAGCCCCCTGTCAGGAGGGGTAGAGTGATGGCAACGAAAACTTAGGGTATTAATGAAATTGCCAGTTGATACATCTGACTTGCACACGTGGTGATCTTGTCCTGTAGTGACTGTAGGGTATAAATTCCTCAGTGTGGCTTTTTGAACTTTCAATGGGTTAACTCGAGTATTAGTCAGTAATTTCTTGGCAGGGTATGCTTAGTGCTAACCTTCACTAGCAGCAGGCAGTGTCAGACACACCGTGTGACTCCTGTTCCCACAGCAGCTGGTGTTTGTCCTGTAGTTCAACAGTAGGATAATTGGTGGCAGGAGCTACCGTGGGAAAGGCGAACTCTTGTCACACGAAGTGCCCTGTGAGTCGGTAACTTTCTCACGCCGGTGTGGCGTTCTGTTCTGGCTGTTCTAGCTTGGTTGTCTGCCATTGTTTGCTGTCCCGTGGTGGCCGTGTAACCAACCCCATCAGAAAGCTTTAGTGCAGGAAATAAGCATTTCTGCATGACAGGAAAGGTGATAAACATACTGTTTATACAAAACAATAGCCTGTCTGGGTCGTAGCAAGGAAGCTTGAGGTCCATTTTAATGGATAATCATGAGCACCACTTGAGGGTGTGTTCGGAGGTAACAAAGACCTGGTGCTGCCTGAAGTGATGGGGGTGACTTCACCGCATAAACTTGCAATTGCAGTCACTTTTGTCTCTGTCCCCCAAAGCCTGATGCTGCTGTTCTCAAATACAGCTTTGAGAGCTCCAGCTGAAGTTTACTTGTGTCACTGCACTGTAGCTGGCCTTGAAATCCAGTCAGGATATTGCTGCTGTAAGACCTGTTCAGGTTCCTTTATGAAGGGTAAGGGTTTTTTGAAGAGGCCGGGACTGAGCATAGCTTCTCTGCTACAAATAACTAGATCCCCTTCTTTCCACAAGCCTCAGCACAGACTGAAGTATCACCTTTTTGTCTTGAAAAGATGAACCATGGGTTACCTTAATGGAAGCATGACAAATCCCAAAGTTGCAGTTCATGTAGGGAAGAATGGCAACTGTCTGAAGCTGTATTTGTCTCTTCAGAAGTACCTCACAGACACCACATGCAGTGCTGCCCCGAGACGGACTCTTAAAATGATTCAGCCTTCAGCAACAGGTTGCCTGGTTGGCAGACGTAATGAGGTATGAATTGAACGGTAACCTGTAGATGTGTCGTCATTTGTACTCCTAGTGAGATGCTTTTGAGCTTTTAACTGAAAACTGATGTATTTGAAAAAGCATATAACCTGCTAACTGGTGTGATACGACTTAAACTTGCTATTTTAGTAATAAGCTATTAAAAACTAGTGATTTCTGAGTACTTCAGGAAAATGTTTGAGATTCTTCTTTTAAACTTACGGGTATTGAGGAAGATGTCTGTAAATTTGAAGTAGAATGTGAAGAAGGCAGGGCTTCATAAAGGCTTAGTTGAGTCACAAGTGAGGCTTACAAGTTTGTATTCTTTAAAAAAAAAAAAAGCTGAAATTCAGTTGCTCTGGAGTTAAACCTGCCCCTGTTTCATGCAGAAGAAATCTTCAGTCAAAAGGAAACTCTGGAATAACAAGTTCACCTCAAAGGGTTGTAAAGCTGAGGTGTCTGTGAACAAGGAGCAAGAAAATGAGAATATGAATGATGTCATTCAAGATGCAGATCTCATGATAAAAGGTATGTGGTGACTCCTGAAATGTTTTCTTGCACTTAAAATGCTATGCTGCTCTTGGAATATAACTTGAAATGCTGTTCTTTTGTCAGTTAGATAAAGGCTTTGTGTTTTGTGTTTTTTTTGTGATGCCTGGCAGGAATTAATGATACTTATCCTCTATAGTACAGTAAATACAGTATAGATATCTGATGTTTAAGAATCAATTTATGGTAACCAGAGGCTGAGAACCATTGTGTACAGCAGTTTTAAGCCCTAGTTTGTCACTTTGGCTTGGCTACGAGCTTTCAAGGGACTAATAACTAAGCTGAAATGAAAGCCTGTTCTGGTGTAGTGTGCTGCATGGGCGGCTTCTCAGGACCATTAGGCCCAATATGGACAGTGACTTGGGAATAAGACTCCTGTCTGCCACAAAGTACACGTTAAGACTGACATAAGAGTGTAGGATCTCTTTTCTATAACCTTCTGTCTGTAGTTGTAAACTTACAGCTTCTCTCTGGGGAAACATTACATGGAGTGAGGTCCTATTATCACCGTTTATAGAACTCTTGTGCACAAGTTGGGTATCTTAAGGTGATCTCAAGAATTCAGTCTTGGCACGTGCTTACTGTAGCTTCTTACTTCAGGAAGTCCTTCATCTCAGTATTGGAAAGAAGTGGCTGAAGAAAGGAGGAAGGCTCTGTACGAAGTGCTTCAAGAAAATGAAAAGGTAGCTAGTGAGAGATAGCCAGCTGCTTTACCACTGGCTATCGTCTTCATGTTTTAATATTTTGTTATTTGACCTCAGTTGCACAAAGAAATCGAGCAGAAAGATGGTGAAATTGCCCGCCTAAAAGAAGAAAACGAAGAGCTAATGTCCCTGGCTGAACATGTGCATTATATGACCAGCATGATTGAGGTACTTCAAGGAATTTTCAGTTAATGTAGAATGAACAAGTGAGAAACCAGCAAAGACTATTTTTAATAAGTTATGACTTCTATTTTGTGTGCTTGCACAAACCTTCATTTTTAATTACTGCCTGACCCATTTCCTGCGGGATTGCTCTAATCCAGAGACATAAAGCCCCTTCTAGGGGATGAGTTTTTCCACCTTAGAACCCCCAGGAGTAATGAGAAAGTACTAAAAGTGATGTTTTCTGAAGGGGAGGTTCAACCTGTTGTGTTAACAGAACAGGCTTTGCACGTTGGAGGTGGTGGCAAGGGAAGGAAGGCTTCATCTTCCCTTGTCTGAGGTGACCTACGCATTCCAGTGCTTAGGAGGTGCTGTGAGGCTGCTGGCTAAACGCAGTGTTTATGCACTGCAGTTCCTCAGCAGTTAAGTTCACTTACTAGTTGTAAGCTGCTCACTTCTGAGGCTTTAATGAGCCTTAAGGGCTACATCAAACAACCAGAAGCCTCAAAAGAAGCCTTTTGCAGTCCTGTCTTTCTTCCTTAGACTGGCTTAGGTGAGGAGCTTGATCAACTGCTGGGTCTTGTAAGTTCATCTAGACTTAATGTACCTTCATTATCGCTGATTAAAAATTATGAACTTAATCTGTTATTGTTCTTCTAAAAATAAACCAATATAGCACCATAGTAATGGTAACTTGGGAAGCTGTTTCCCATATTTTAGGTTGCCCAAGATAAAACCTGTCCTACTGAAGAACCTAAGGCAGACTTAACAGTCCACACGGGAGATGTGGTCTGTGAGTTAGAGGTAGCAATTTGAGTTGAAGTGTCTTAAGATTTCTGTGACTGAGGAATGTTTTAATTATAACAACAATCTCTAAATGAAGACAGTTTGCTTCATTCAATATGCACAGTCTTATTTCACTGGCTATTAAGTTCCCTGTCTCTGTTTCTTTCTAGAGGCTAACTGGGCAAGCACCTGACAAGCTTGAGACACTGAAGAGTCTGGCTCTAGAGGAATCCAAACAAGACAATGAAGAGCTTGGCTGTGGAGATGATGCAGACAGCACTTCTGAAGAAGGGCCATCGCAAGTATCCCGTGGCTCGAGGGAGAGTATATCAGATCTTGCTTCAAAGGAAGCAAGTCATTTGCAACTGGAATGACAACCTTGAGATAGGCTTATGTATCTGGCTTTTAATTGCAGACTTCCTCTCGAAAGGATATACTAAAACTTCTCAGGTATAGAAACTCTTGTGGAAGCGTTACAGATGTTGGGTTTTAATTGGAATTATGTAGCAGTGGGAGTACCAGGATACTGCATAGAAAACTTACTACAGGCAGCACTTAGTCGCTTGTATAAAATGCAAATACTGTGTATTTCAAACTGTTGTGTAAATATCTTATCAGTTGGTCTGACATGATACATGAAAATTGATAAATAAATCTTTGCCTTACCAAAACAGCCTCTGAGTGCGGAATGACTAGTTCCAGGCTCATAAGTCAGCTGGGACTAGTGTAGGTAGAAGCTTGCAGGGTTTTTTGGGGAGAGCCTGGGCAGTTTTTAACTCCTTAGATTTCCAGAATTCTGGAGAACAGAGTGGTTGTGGTGGATAGGGAAAGCAAAATACAGCTTGTGTGCTGTTGGTGAGACTTCAGAAAGTCAAGAATGGGTAACAAGGGTCAAGATCTAAAGTTTAGTTAGATTTATGCTTTTCAGGGTGGTGTGTTTTAAATAATAATTGCCTCTGCCTTTTAAGGGAGCCTTTTCCAAGATGACTAGATGAGAGCTTCAGTAGAAAGTATTAGACAGTTTCTTCTAGAAATCCCTTTATTTGCTTATAAAGGCAAGGTGGGCTGTTCTTGCTCCTGGTAGCAGCTGTACTGAAAACTGGCTGGAGACAAAGCTGCTTACATTTCAGAGCTATTCTGAAAGGAAATGGAGTATCTGTCTCCAGGTACTGCTCTGGTATTTACCAAGAGATGAGGCACCACTTTACCAAGACAGTGATGTTCTGAAGGGTTTGCAGGAACAAAAAGCACTCTTAAAACTCTGAGCACCTTATCTGGCATCTGTACCAGGGAGGAGAGGGAATTGCTTGCAGGTGAAAGTGGTGAGGCAGAAGGGGGGAGTAAGTTGAACACAGCTTTTCCAGTCCTGCAGTTGTTCTGTAAGTAACAAGGCCTTTGAAGGACAGGCTTTAGAAGATGCTGGCCATGGCAATAGCTTGTGAAGAGCTTCAAGCTGAGTGGCTTTCAGGAGGCAGAGAGAATCGAGGGGGGGATTCTGGTGTGTGGCTCTATTGGGCCTTGCCAAAATGGGTGCTTGAGGGTACCTGTGAAGACACCCGTGGAGCTATCAGACTGGCCTGTATCTCACTCTCCCAATGGGTGTCAGTCAGTTAACAGGTATTTTCAGCGGTGTCAGTCAGGGAATGTCAGAACTGTTGTAGGAAGTAATATTCCTTCTGGCTTCCATTTCGCCTCGAATCTGGTAACCACGAGGTGAGGCATCATGTTTTCCTGGGAACTTGGCAAAAGAAAGATTACAGTTTGTGCTCTAGAGTGTACTTGGATGTAATCCTTTCGGTCACAGTGCAGAAACGGTGACAAAGGTGTGTCCTGTCACTCGCACTGATGCTGAGTTTAAGGAAAACCAAACAACTGGAGGCTGGGTAGCTGCTTTGTAGGGTGACCTGGGTTCCTGTTCAAAAGAACTAGATAATACTGTCAAGTGACCTATCTCAGATTCTAAGCAACTTTCATGTCAAAGTAGTTCTTCCACAGTAGCAAATAAGGAAACACATAAATTTTAACTTGGGCAGTGCAGTTTAGTTTAAATTATTGATAGTTAATCTTTCAGAGGTGGCTTTATTTTTAAAGGTGGGGAATATTTTCCATTGGCAGAGGCTGTGGAAGGGAAGAAAGCACTTGCATAATTAGCTGGCTGGGCGGACCAGTCCAACTGAGACAGCAAGTGCAGCTTTTCCACCATTTCACCTCCTGCTCTGTGAACTGTTAAAACTGCCAGCAAGTAATAAATCCAGAATTTGTGTGTGTTATCTGCAGCTGGCTCTTCCATATTGTCCTCAAAGCTGGGCAAGAGGAATGCTTGCTAGATTTAAATCTTGTGCTTTTTCTTGATTGATGTTATGTAAATCACAAAGACGAGACAGTCCCTCGAGTAGCTGGATCCTTCTGTTGGAAGGGAGCGCGTACAAAACAAATCATGCGAGTTCTTCTCGTAGGCCGATGGATGCGTTGCAGCGTTAGGCCCGCCTGGAAGAGAACTCTTCATATCACAAAGCCATGTGCCACTTGGTAATGCGTGCCACTTGCACCTAAAGCCTTCAAACCAAGGCTACTGTGGGTTTAGGAACTTCGATTCGTTACCAAAGAGGATAGCTGGCTCTAGAAACGCTTGAAAAAACGTGCTGTAGGAGAAGGCTGAGTATGAGACCTGAACCACAGGAATAAAACCCAAACACACGTGCTCTGTCGGTCACAGATGGATTGGACCTTAATCAAACCATCTCCCTATGCCTACTAGATCAGAAATATTCGTGTATGAAAGTTGTCAGAAGTTTTAGGATTAATTGCCATTTAAAAATGGTCTAAAAGGGGTCAAGTTCTGTTTATTGTCCTGAAAACTGAGGTTTTTAAAACGTGTATGCAGCAGAACTATGTTTTATAGTTCTAGGGACTTTGCATGCATGTGTGAAGGGTTTGTCAAATGTGTAGAAATTATCCAGAGATTTGTCCTCTTACAACCATCTGACCTTTTATTTTTGTACCGCAGGGGGGTTGCACTAGATGACCTCTAAAGGTCCCTTTCCAACCCAAACTGTTGCATGATTCTGTACAGGGAAGCATTTACCACCGAAACAGCAATGTTGGTTTTCACCTGTTACATAGCTAAAGACAAACTTCATATCCAGCTAAGTGACAGAGAAAATGCTGCCTAGCAAAATAAAACGATCTGTTCTGGAACTGAACTGCAGAATGTGACTTCTTTTTTTTCCCAAAAAATCATAAATGCTTTTGTTCCCCAGCTTGACCAGCATCTTGACTCCTTTGCACTGCAGAGGCTGAGGCCACGGGCTTCCACTGAAGTATCCGAAGGCTGCTCAGAAGTGGGATGCATCTGCTGCCTCCTAGCATGTCTCCCATAAAATATGCGTGTCCTAACAGGACAGAATTTCAGGTATTTAAGACTAAAGTGAGGGGAGATGGGCCATTTCCAGGTGTTTCAAGGAGGAACAGCTGTGCTGGGACTAGAGAGGCAAGCAAACTGGGGGGTGGGTGGATGGTTTGGGTGAGGAAGAGCTTTTAATTGTTGTAGCAAAAATAACAATTTCAGTGTAAACACCCATTGTATTTAAGACAATGTGGGAATGAGACCATAATAACTACTGGGCTGGGCAGCTGAAACTCACTTGGAGTTTGGCATTGTGAGGGCCTACAGCGTGGTTGTTGCAGCCTGTGCATAAAGTAACAAAGTCAGTCATGGATTTTTTGCAAGGAAACACCCTGCGTGTTCGGTTATTTCTCCTTAAAGGCCACCTGAGGTTGTTTTCCAAACTGGATTTGAGATTTTGAGCACGTTTGCAAAGCCCAAGGCTGCGTGTTTCCAGTGCTCTGTTGTTCTCGAGACCGAATTGCGTTGTTATCATCAACATTTTCTTCGGCAGACAATGTTTATTGCATGTTGTTAACTTCTCTTCCCTGCAAGAACACAAAGTAGTTCAGCAAATGATAACGGGGTTCTGTGAAACTTTCATTTGCTGCTGCTTTGTCGATCCGCCAACAACTGTAGCGAAATGTGACCGTCTGTGTCAAGGTCAAACCCTTGGTTGTGACCTTACCCCCGGGGGGCACCGCAGCCGTTTGAAGGTGGCTTCTGGATCCTATTGTCAGGATAAATCCCCTGGGAATCGGCAAAGCAGGGGTCTGGCCTTAAGAGATGTCTGGCAGTCCTATTGACTCCTAATTTTGCTTGCTTAAAGTCAGCCATCAGCTGTACAGCCAGAGACTGCAGCAGCGGGTAAAGCCGTTGTAGGTCCCTTTTCTGAAGGGGTGTCTGGGGTAAAGCGGCTGCAGGTCCCTTTCCCTTCTCTGAAGGGGTGTCTGGTGTAAAGCGGCTGTAGGTCCCTTTTCTGAAGGTGTATCCGGGGTAAAGCGGCTGCAGGTCCCTTTTCTGAAGGTGTACCGGGTACAGGAGGAGTCTCACCGACAGCAGCGTGAAGCTCTGGGCAGCCCAACTCGGGCTGGAGCTGGAGCAGCGTGGAGGCACTGCGGGT